ATTACACTTACCCTATGTTGTGAATTCTTTTTCTGAAAATTTATTATTCACAATCCTAAAAGAAATAACTCGTTGATTGATTTTGAATAAGAAGATAATCCACCAAATAAACTATAAAAAATAGAGCATTTTCAATAATCTGCTTTGAAAAAATTTTCTATGCTTACAAAATGTTTATAGACATGCATGTTGGGCGAATTAATGGTTGTATGTCTAAATGTGTTGTGTTTTCGTGGTACATATAGTAGTTGCTGTTCTTTGTTTCGATGATATAATAATTAAAGGATGAGGAAAATTCTCAACGCAGCGGAAGATCATCGAACAATATGATTTGTTGAAATCGAATATGAATTAATGCAAGCGAATCATTTTCTCCGATTAACCATTCATTGTTTCTTTCTCTTTCCACACAATACGGAGGAGACGATTGAAAATATGAATTATGATCGAGAAAGAATAATCTAAGGTTAAGGGTTAAATACAGTAGATGAATTAAAAGTTAGTTAAGAAATGTGATTGATATTTCCACGTAGCAACACCAATCATCTCTCTTAATTCAGTTTTAATTCATCTAGTCTGTTTGTGTCCTTAGATAAGGTTATTTGATAAAGATAAACTGCAAAGAAAGCAATTGTAATAATTATTTTGTTTCGTCTCTATCAATTGCTTATTTTATTCTTACTTAGAAAAAACGATAATGCAATGTAACTTTTTACTAAATATAAAAAAAATGTCTTGTATTTCTCTTTAACAGTTTTTCAAATATATCTAAATCATTATTAAATGTTTTAACTATTAATTCACCAGGTTTATCTTCAGCAAGTGAAAATGGACAGTCAGATTCAAACATAAAACAAATCTCATTCATTATTTCAACAAGAAACTTCAATACTCGAGAATCATGAGCTAGTGAATCAACATAAAATCGGTCAATATAAGATGGTGGTCGATGATTATTTTTATATGCGCATAAATCTGGTCGGCATTCATGCCCATGAGTAATACAACCGACAGTAAATGGAGATGAACCACTACCTGAAAAAAAGAGCAATCTGAAAATTTTTTCTTAGTAAATTATTTACCGTGAGCAAACGCTAATTGAAATTTGGATATTTTTCTAAAATATCACCCATTAAAATAGAACACTATCGCCGATGTTGTTTCAAAAGGCATGCTATTCATTCCGAGAAAATGCATATTTCATTGCTGAGAAAAGTCATCTCTTACCCGCATAACCATAGCATCCAATAAGCATCGTAACATTTTCCCGTTGGCATATCCCGTGGATGAATAAAAACACAAGCATCAAGTTTTTCAACTTCACAAACTAAAATGGATCAAGTTCTTCGTTATCTAAATTCCATTCATTAACATATATACCAATTTGTACACCGTTTAATCCTAATTCATTATCACATCGACGAAGTTCATTAATAGCTAAATGATGTGCAACTGCACCAAGACCAATAGAACGTGTTGGATGTTGTCGACAACCAGGTGCTATATGATCATTTAATTCAAGAGAAAGTTCAAGAACATTTTGAAACTTTTCACTTGAATAATTAAATAAAACTGGAATTGTTGAAAGTACTTGCATAGAAATATTGTTTTCATCCATTTCACGAAGACGAATATTAATGTCAAAACAATGTGGTTCAATAGTTCGAAAAAACATTCCATCTTTAAATAAATTTAAACGAAAATCACCATCGACATGTGATCGTAATTCAAGATATTCCTGCGCATTTGCATTTAGTTCATTTGTTAAACTGTGGGTGTGTATATCAATACGAGCCAATGGAGAAGATAAATTCATGATGAAAAGAAAAGAATGATTCGATTTTGTTTATCGATGATTGGAAATGGAGAACGAACAAAAGCAAATGTATCGAGAATAGAACGAAAATAAACGATGGATAAAGAAGGTAGGATAGGGAGAAAGTTTGTCTAAAGAAAAACAATCTGAAGTGAAAACTAACAAAGTTTAATTAAATAAATTTCAAGTATCATCTATGTATTGCATTGTGAACAGATATGTATATAAAATGCTTAACATTTGAAGTATTTGGAATTATATACTGAAATGAAAATGGAAAATAATATAAAACTGAAGGATTAGAGGCGTATTTAGTTTTATTTCAAGTGCAATCGAATCTAGTTCGATTGGTATCGATCATCAAAAGCCTTGATCGATTTTATCTCTAGTCATTTAGTATTTTTTTACTGTCTTTACCATTTATAATTGTACTCACGTAACATTCAAAACTAACCTTGTTCCTAGGATGCTGTTTTTCTATTGAATTGACTATAGAAAATAGAGAAACTTCTTCCAAAAATGTAAACCCTCTATAACAAGTGAGAAGACAACGTCTCTATATTAAATCCGTCTTTATCATTTTGCTTTTTTCTTTCTTTTTTGTGTACTCAAAAAGTGAGTACACTCTAGAATCGGTCAGTGTGTCCGGCCGTCCGTCCGTTAACACGATAACTTTTGAAAGGAGAGTTCAATCGCGATGAAATTTTCTACACAGTTCAGTTTTAACAATGTCTCGGTCGAGTTCGAAGATGAGAAGAATTGGCCGAACCATTCCTGAGTTCTTGCAAAAATACTCATTTTTTCCTATGGCTTCCTATGCGAAAATCGACCCATCCTTGCTTTCGTAAAAAACTTTTCCTATCATACTCAAACAAAACCCCAACTATTATATACCATTCGATAGAGAATTTTACGAGCTACAAAATGGTATATAAAACATAAAGAAACACCAAGGCTAACTCACCTATTGCCATGATAACCAGACGGAAATAGGTTCTGTTTTCGTCCACGCTCTAGTTGATCCGAAAATGGAGCTCTACCTTCCGATCACGGACATGATACTTCGAGGTTTTTTGGGGCGGAGAACTCGAATCTGTCAT